AGCGGTACCACACCAGGAGAGCGCTTCTAATACACGTGATAGCCAAATAGTTGACTCACAGAATGAGGATGTTCCTGAGTTTGATCTTCGTCCTTTTTTGGCCGTACGGCTTAGAAAGCCAAGTTTAGATGCTGTGGTACCACTCAAAAGCGGCGAGTTTAAAGACCCATCAGCTCTCGGAGAGAGTGCACAGACACCACCTGATAAATCGTCTATTTCTTGTGTAACCATTGCGGTACCGCCACCCCCAACCACACAGAGCTGTACGGCACCAAATAGTACACGTAAAATTTCTACAAGCTCCACAGTAACGGAAAAAAATAATACCGATAGCGAGGCCGTACGGCAGAAGAGTTATATAGATAGCTCGATACAAAATATGGAGCAGACAAAATCTGACTCGCAGATTTCTATACCGTACGGCGGAGGGATAGAGATGACTCCTATTGTCAGTGGTACCACCGCAAGCTATTTAGATTTACTGTTTACTTTTCTTATTTTCTTACTTATTACGATCATATTGTTTACTGTTCTGAAACCTATGTGGGAAAACCGGAAAAATAGACTCCATGACTGGAAATTAAATGCAGTAGTACCCCAGAAACATTTTTCATTTCATCATGCGCCAATTTAATCATTTTTGTATTATATGGCACGGTACCACAGAATAAATGCACCTAGTTACTCGCATTCTGTGCATCATTCACGTTTTTCTTTTTCCAGTAATTTGCCTTATTACGGTGTTTCGCGGCATGTTGCACACACATACCGTATTTAGAAGCGGTTGGTGTGCCACACTCTACACAAGGAAAGCGTAATCGCATCTTCCAATGAATAGCACAACCTTCTTGCCGATAACAGCCTTTCCCGCAAACGCGCCCATCGATGTACATATGTGGACAAGAATAGAATGCCATTACTATAACTGTAATTGTTTGCTTTCAATATCTATATAAAATAATTATTTATCGAATTGAACTATTTGTCGTCTTTATTATAACTTAACAAACCAACGTACAGTATATATATTACATTACCAACAGACAAAATGTCCTTTGCATGTGGCACCACGGAGATAAATGAAATTTGGAATGCGCAGCCGTACGGCGCAGACTCTGACAATGATGATTTGTTAGACGAAATGGAAGAAACCTCGGAATACAATAGTGATTCCGGTGACGATTTGCCAAATCTAAATATAGATAGACGACGAATTTGGCAGCGGTACCGCAGAAAATATAAATATCTTAATCGTGCTGACTGTCCTAAGAGCGAATGCCTTTATGCCTCGGAAATGGTTCAACCAGAAGGATGGATTATCCGACAAGAATATCCACATTGTTATAGATATTTTCACAATTTGATTGAGTTCGAGAAATGGCACGAATTAATTCCTGAAAATCAACGTACATTTCACGAGGTTATTAGAGCGGGACAGTCACAAAAAATCAAGATTGATATAGATGGTGAATTGGCTAAATTTGCGTCATATCCTGATCCACTAGCACGACTAGAGGCCGCTCCTAGACCGAAGACATTCGATGGTATCATCACCAATGAACGTTTCCATCAATGGCAAAAATCAACAGAAATTTTGCGTAAAAAGGATGAGATTAGTTTGTACATTAAAAATGCGCTACAGATTGCTATAAAGGAAATAACCGGATCAGATCTTTCAATGGATGATATTTTATTAGCCGATTCTTCGAACGAGAGTAAGTGGAGTCAACACTTAATATTACCACATTACTTCGTCCGTGGTGCATACAAGGCTCGGAAATTTACGGCTCGGATTTTAGAACTTGTTCCACAAAGAATGCATTCTTTTATTGACGATAAAGTAAATAAGAATATCCATTGCTTCCGATTAGCAGGGAGTCACAAAGCTGAAGATCCTTTACGCATTAAGCGTATACGTTCAAATCATACCTGGAGAGAATCTCTAATTACGCTTATTGATAACGATTCTACGGAACTTTGGCCATATGAATGGGAAGAAGATAAAAAGCTGAAAAATGAGTCTGTCTCACGTGAAAAGAGTGATACTGCGATAAAAATAGTAGAAGAACAATTTCCTTTCCTGTCTTATCGAAATTCTAATAATGGCTTCGATATTTTTGATAG